CGAGAATATATCTTCTTGATTTCTCAAATGCGATGCTGTGTTACACACATGTTACGTTACATGTTACGTACATTTCAGACATTTTTACAGTTAAGAATAATAATTATAATTATTGAACCTGGAATCGTACAACAACTGCATTTATTATATTATCTATTTAAAACTTACTTATATGCAATATAAATTTTGAGATTTTTTATCTTTCTGCATAACAGATGTCGCGTTAATAAATTCTAAAAAATTCATTGAACGACTTTGATTAACATAATTATTGTTCCCATATTTTTTAATGCGTTAAATTTGCAAACTCGAGCTAATAAGTGCAAAATGTTTGGCATGATCACTGAATGCTAGATTGTAACAGTTGTACAGATATGTATATATATATATATATATATATATATATATATATATATATATATATATATATCACATTACTAATTGTCCTCTGCTTGTCTGCATTACATGTTGTGTACTGTTATACACTCGTGAATCGATGTTTTTACAAATTTTCGTGTCTAACTTAATCGATATAACATTATTGCAGTACGTATTATTTACGTATGTGTTATATTATAATACATATATCTTTATGTATAAATAAGTAATAAGAATGATAATATTAGTAACGGTAAATATTTTTGTCACATGTTTTTCTTCGCTTCTGAGTTATCTGTGAAAACGAGCAAATCATTCCATCTGTCCGTTATGCATGCGGACGAGTGTAACTATATCGGCAAGTTTTTTTTAATAACTACAAGTTCTATATCTCAAGGTTGGTGTCAAGAAGTTTAAAACTGAAATGTTTTTGAACAAATTTATTAATAGTTCGCGAAACTCCTGAAAGAAAGATGAACGTAGCAGACAAATCTGTTACTCCATCATCGTGCTCTCACTGACGTCAGGCATGGAGAGAGTTGTTATTGCTACGAGTTTCCTCTTTCCAGGTTCCAATTAAGTGTTCACAAAATTTGCAGGTATGTACGAGTATAAAATCGATCATATGCAGCACTCACTGGAGCATCATACAGCGCCACGAGCAATCATTTATCAAAGGTTCTTAATTAGGGTACGCCATGCCTCTGTGTAGGCAGTTACTACGAATGAAAACATTTTAGCAGAAAAACTGATCCTGAAATATTTATTTGTAAAAATGTTTGTGTCACCTGACTTTCTCTCTCTCTCTCAAATGAATGACTTTTTCTATTTTTTCTCAAATGAATGAATTAATTTTTTTAAATTTTTTCCAACATTTCTTATCCTTTCAAATTGTTTCGTACCATCATTTGAACAAAGTAGAATTAATTTTATCTTCTGACTTTTGTAAAACTTTTTTGTACAAATATGTTTTGGTCTAATATGCTAACCTTCATTTTTGTTACTCAATAAATGTAGGATGATTCTACTTTAGATGTAACTATTCGCATAGAAGATAAGATTTATCAAACAGCAATGCTAAACTCTATGTGAAGGACATTTGGCAATACTTAACCATTCATAAATCTTCTTTTATAAATGTGTGCACACGTTTTCACACTGTTCATAAATGTTAATGCATTTTCATGCATGCTTCTATGTACACCAGCTTGCTAACAAGTCGGGGCTATTGAATGTGAATTGATATTTATCGTTTGATGAATTGAAGCCTAACATTCAATCCACTTTTTTAATACAGTATTTCAATAATGATTTTAAAATTTCAAAAATAAATTGTTGAATGCTTCAAAATCGTTCGAAATCCTTCCTTTATGTGATAACGATGGTGACGGTGTCATGGTGACCCGTTAACGATAAAAATAACAAACTATTAAGTTATTGAATCTTAAAAATAACTACATGGAAGAAAAACTAAATATATATATATATAAACACACACACACACACACATATAATTATTATATATAATAAGCACACACAACAGATTAACAACCCCAAAGAGCATCACAGGACAGTGCTTACTGACAACAACTTCCACATGAATGGATAAATCGAAAACCAGCACGCACTGTTTATTGCAAAAACTTAACAGATTATATCAAATCTAACTAAAAAAGCTTATCGTGCTAAAAAAATCATACAGAAAACATTTAAATGCTTCAAAAAACGTCTGCAGTTGCACCATTTCGTAGTGCAGCCAAATTTATGTTAACAACTCCCTTTAAAATTAGTAACCCTCTCATGTATTATATGGATGGGTCTAAAACAAGAAAGAAAATTCAACCATAATTACTTTGTATTTTATATAAGCTTTTAAAAATTAATAACTATGTATATCTTTAATGTTGTGCTTTGGTATCAACAGGATATGAAATGTAAGTTTGCTGCATGGAGTTATAAAAATGTAACTGAAACAATAGTGGAGTTATAAAAATGTGACTGAAATAATAATGCAATGATGTAAGGAAAATTACGTTTAACTGTGCCACTGAATGGTTAATACTGATAAGGTTTACATTAACGCTACCTAGAATTCTACCTCTTAATGAGAAATAATAAAAAATGCTAGAAGAGGATTTTATAAAAATAAAATTGGTTCAACACATGATGAGAATATGAGTTTTTATCTTTATAATTTATGAATTTAATTGCCGTGATAAGATCGCCAACCCGACACAAAGCTGTGAGTGGTGATATGGAGTCGATGTCCAGTATGAGCTGCATGCAACCAATGCCGGTAGAGCGACGAAACAAAAATGATGACTAAATATCATAAGACAGTTGACATTTTATAAATTATAAGGAATGATTTACAAAACACAATAACGTATTTGACGACAACGATGATAAACAAGCTAGACTCGACTCAACATGATTAAATGCAACAAATTCTCGATAGAAAAAACAATTTAACGGCAAATTTCACAAGCTCAGGCTTTTCTGTGTTGTCGAAGAACCGCTTGCTCAACCGAATGAATGCTGATCAAACAGAAAAGACGATTAGAATAGTGCGTTCGTGTCATTTAAGAAAATTAGCGTGTTTTTACAGTAGAAAATGAAAATTCTCCAGATGAACTCAGTGCATCAAACGCATTTTATTATTTTATGGCTATAATTAATAAGAAGATTTTGCCAGCGCATACAACTTATTCGTTAATGTTCAATTTTTCAAATTAAATTTTTCAACCCTACCATCCTTAACGAAACCTGTGACGAATTTAAACGAAAGATTTACGAATACAAAACTCTGATGCACAAGACACTACTGACTACGCTACGAGTGAACAGTTAAAATAATATCAACACAATCAAAAGATTTTTAATGAAAAAAGCTAGTAAAAAATATACAAACACAAGCGGCACACCAACAACACACACACATATGTATATAATAATAATTATTAACTGTGTTCGTAGAAGTACCATTGAAATTTAATAACTACTAGTTACTATATTTCTTATAAGATAATGTTAGCCTGAGGCATGAGATGAAGATGGGCGCATCTGTATTTCACTAACCGATGTTATGCCATTAAAATATTGATACCTAATCAAATGTTCATCACCTGGTTTCGTCACCAATTTAATAATTTACAACGTATATTCAAGATAAAATGTTTAATAAAATAATATACGAGACGATATCTAAACTTTCATTATATGAAAAAATATAAAATAATTGTTGTTTCAAAAATCTGTTGGCAATCTTTATAACTCTTTAGAAGTTAATGTACTATTATCGGCAGATTTGTTGAACGGGGATGTGGTCTGCGAGTCGATGGTCAGCCTTCTCGATAGTTCGCTCACTCGGGCTGGCTTCTTCATTATCGGTGGCTTAACCTTCGCCGACATTTTGGAATTCAAAATATCCTGACTCCAAGTGCCGACGTCAGTTTTCTGCTGCAGGTTGCTTGCCTCTGTAGCATTATCGTTGGAACGCGAGGAGGTGGGGGAGGGGAGGGGCGATAGATTGGTCGTCGTTGAAGATGGTGCAGTTGTCTCTGTGCCAAGTGTGGTTGCTTTCGTTGTCGATGTTATTGATTTGGTAGTGATGGTGGTTTGCTTGGAGGATATCTCAACGTTGTTGCCTGCTGTGTTGCAAGAATTGTCAGGACTGGATACCCGTCTGTCCGAGAAAGGAATGTCAAAGGGATTCAAAATGGATTTTGACAAGAGGGCTTGTGATATTTTGGTGGCTGTGCCCTGTGTGATTGTACCGGCCTTTCTACAACCCATGTTTTTGTTGGCTTCTAAAATGTTTTCTGTGGCAAGTCTTGAGGTGGTCCGCGTCGGTGGAATGATTGGAATCTGATGACTGTCGGCAGATGCAACGGAGTGCTGTCTTAACACTGCCGACGTTCCTGTCTTCAATTTGCCAAAACTATTTCTATCTCCAGCATCAAAATCATTTTGTCGGGCTGACAGATGTTTAGTTTCAGCTCGTCCGAGTGTGGCATACTTCTTGTCGGTGAATTGTTGCCTCCTAACCTGAACACCAGAATCTGTGTTTTTTTGAACTGAAGGTATTTGTGGCTGTTGGTGTTGATTTTGTTGAGTTTTAGAAACAATGGCAATACCCTGGCCTTTTTTGATTGTACACTGATCTGCATTGGCAAAGACTTCTGCAGTTGTGAGGACATTTGATGAGTCATCATTCGCGGTGGTTGTTGTCGTGGCCCTTGACGTTGCTGCTATGGTCGACGGTGTTTTTGGTGAAGTTTGGTGGAGCATGCTGTTTTGCGGGAGATCAATGACAAGATCAGGGGTGCGCTTGAAATCATCCAATCCTTGTACTTGCAGTCCCAACGAATGGATACCTGACATCACTTCCGCCAGTGCCATGTCTATGTCGTTTGCCAAGTCTTCAGTATTAGATTCCACGTTCATTTTTAAATGCGTTTTAGTCATTGCAGTAGAAAGATGATGTAGGCAGTCATCTTTATTAGTTGAATGCTGTTGATGAGGAAGATGGTGTTGATGTTGTGGCAGTTGTGTGATATGTTGCTGATGCAGCGGTGATGGAAGAAAGTTGGAGGATACCGTCTTGCCGATCTCAGAAGACGAGCGGTCAGGTAGTTTTGGAGGATCAGGTGATTTCATTTTGGTTCTCAAAGTTTCAAACGGTTTATTTTTTCGTTGATTAACTAGGCCGCCTCCACTTCCGTCATTACTTCCGCCATCTTTAACTTCCGGTTTGTAAGCTGTGAGGATTTTAAGTGTGGACATGTCGTCGTCGTTGCTGTTTGTCAGCTGAGAAGAGTTTGAGCTACTTGTAGAATTGGAACCGAGCGATCTGTTGTTATTATTGTTGTTATTGTTGATGTTTCCCGCGCTAACTTGGTGCCGCAATTCCAAATTAGGATGAGAGGCAGACATGGGCGAAAGGTCATCAGACCTGATAACGGACAACGTGTAGGACTTGAGAGGCAGGGATTCAGTTGATTTAAACTTGTCCTCCTCCTGGCTCTTAAATGTTCCATATTTGTTTCTGGGGTGGTATTAAAAAATTATTAAAAAAATAATTAATGTTGAATTTAAACGCGTGAAACTAAAAAAAACTAAATAAAAGAAAGAAAGAAACATGTTTGAACCTGGTTTGAACGGATATGTACTTGTCGGGTAACAAACCCTCTTTATCACCCACGGCCCCTTCCCACCAATCAGGCGAGACCTTCTCATAAACAATAAGCGTATCACCTTTCTTGAAGGAGAGCTCACGATCAGTACGACCATGAAAATCGAAGAGAGCCAACGCCTCCGTCACATCAAGTTCTGCAAGTTCGTTGATGGGAAACATTACAAAAGTTAATTTTCTTACCAATGGTTTTATTTTTACATCCATTCATACATAACTCCCACGTCATACTGAAAGATCAAATTTCAAGAAATGAACGCAGTCAACTGACCATCCTCGCTTATGATGTCCTCGATGATTTCCTCCTCATCAGATAACGCCTCTGATACGATCGTCGGCCTCCTGCAAAAAACATTCGCCTACTTACAGTAAGCATGAAATAATGCAACAAAACATTGTGTACTACTCTAAACGTTCAATATAACAAAACGTACTATTTCACTTTAGGCATTTGGTACGACAAAGAAACTATTGCTAATTACTCAGAAAACAACAGTGAAAATGTGAAAGCAAACAAAGTTAATCTTCCAACCGATGTACCGACCCTTCGACTTGAACTTCACACCTCTCGTAGATCGTCCCTCCACTATCCTTATTCTCTTCGTCCATCTGCCGAGGAAAAACTTCGTCCTGGTAGAGGATGATGTTCTTCACTAACTCAGTCACGTGACTTTGGTAGAGGACCTGGTCCAACTCAGGGGGTACGGGCATGAGAGTGGGTCCGAAACAAATGGCCAGGTTGTAAGGGTCCATCATGTTCTCGTCACTGAATTCTGACAAACTGGCGATCAGTTGGAAAAAACGCTAAATTGCATACATCGTGGAAATACAAAAAATGTAATATGTTACTAGGTGTAAAAGCAACTAAGATATTGAAAGAAAAATGCTAGAACTGACTGGTTTAAGAAAGCGAAGAGATATCTCATAAGTATGATGACTGGACGAGGGAGTGAAGTTAGCAGCAAATGCTTCAGTCTCGAGATGCTTTCTGGCAGATCGTCTGGATCTGAGGTTGTTTTTATTTAAATGAAGTTGCAAAACTTTTTAAGTAGAGTACGCTACAAATTAGAATGGGTAACTTAATTAACACTGATAACTTATACTATGAAACTTAAAAAATAAACCAGCTGTTATAAATTTAGTTGTCATATTTTGAAAAATGCAAATAAAAAAATCTAAGACGTACATAAAATAAATTTGATTGAAATAAGACAAATCAACCAAAAAACGAACTATTGAAAGAATTGACAGAAATGAAGTTGATGAGTTCTTGGAACATCGCAAAAGGAAAAAGCGGTTCTCGGAGTTCACGAAAGTACAACTTTAAAACGCCTGCCACAGAGTTCATGTCCTTACCGTCAACTTTATCAGGAAGAGGATCAATACCTGCAAAGGAAAGCATTAATACGAAATGATCAACATGAACAACCACAGTTAATTAATTACACACAAAATTACATCTAATATTTATCTGAACACAACACCAGCTAGAAACTATTTTTCAAATTGTAAAAAAATATTTTTTTTGCAAGAAACAACAACAAACAACATTTAAAAATGAACAAATAACATTCTAAGAACGTAAGCCAACCTCTTTCAAATTGATTCTTGAATTCATTGATCTCGATCTGAGAGCCTGAAACTCGAAACACGCCTTGATGGTGCATACCTGTGCGGTGCATGTGCAAGATGGTTACGTAGTAAATGAAGTGCATAAATAACAACACCACCAACAATATAAACAACAACAACAACAACAACAACAGAAACAATTAATCAACATCCTAAAAAGCAATAAAGATGACAAATATTTCTGACTGACCGTAAAGATTAATAATTCGGACACAACTCCTCACAATGAGAGGAATTTCTTCACCACTGGCCTGTAAATTTTTACCCTCATCATCATCATCATCATCATCATTTTAATCACCATCATCCTTCCTCTGCAATCATCATAATTGAATTGTCTTCACCATCATTAGCATCATTAGCAATAGCAACAACCGTTAAACATGTAAGTAACTACGCTATAGATTGACGTTACAGACATTAAATTTAACGCGGTCTTATCTATCTTGAAGTTGTTGAGTTATAAAAATAACTGATAAACCTCAAGAGAAATAAAGATAGAGAAAGAGAGGGTGGAGGGAGAGAAAGAGATCACAACCAAAATAGAGCTGATACTGACCTCAACATATTCAACGACAGTACCCCCAAAAAGTTGTGGCTGGCCTGCCAGAGGTGCCTTGCCAAGCACCTTCCGTCTTTTTGGCTTTGGTGGAACTGCAGACAATCTACATAACAAGTGAATAATATTTATTCATGTATCTATTTTATTTATTTGTTTGCTTGTATGTTTCTATGTTTGTTTGGTTATTTATTTGTTATTTTATTTGAAGAAAAATTTTAAAAACTTCGAATTTTTAGACTAGGTAATACTAGGCATGCAAACGCAAATCCAGTTTACTAAGACCAATCTTGCAACTGTTGTGTGGAAAAGAAAAAACTAAATTAAATTTATCGAAAAAAAACATCAGCCAGCATTGAATAAAAAAACTTTGTTTGAACAAATTGATAAAATTACCAATGAAACTGAAAAACAAAAAAGACATGAAAATTTTTTGTTTAACTTCTCACAGAAACATTCATGCGAATGAAAGCATAGACAACGATGAAATAAAATAACATCGCAATACATTACATCAAAAAATATGAATTACATTCAGACTGTACTGTTAACCAGTGATGGCAGTGAAAAAAATTGTCGACAACCAACCACGAAAGAAGATATAAACGGCAATAATAATGAATAACATTAACAACAATAACAACCACGCTGATAGCATTAATAATCACATTAACGATGATAGTAATAATATGACCAACAATAATAATAACTATAACGAAGGTAGCCATGAATAAACAAACCTGGAGGGTGACATCAGATTTAAAAAACCTCTTGAGAAGTTTCGAGAAACATTTTTAATGAAAAAATAAATAAATAAATTTTTTTATTGCCAGCAAAGAAAGTAAAAGATTTGAAAATTAAATTAGAAAATTCAATAATTTTATGAAATGGTGATAATAAATCTCGTTGGATCATAGAGGAGAACGTTCCACATTGAGACTTATAAAAGTTAATTACATTTTAGACCGTATCAGAAAAATAAGTTCTGTAGAAAAATTTTTTTTTAAATTTTGAGAAAAAATAAAATCAACCGTGAATAAAATTAGCGATAGAAAAAAAACAGACATCAGCAGCATTAATGTAAATGTTAAAAAATAACGGGTGTACCTCAACGAAACAAAAAGCACTGCAAATTCTTTTGCTATATGAAATTTATTTTGTCCAAGTTCAGACACATGCACTCAAACACACACACTCACGCACATATAAAACACACACACGCACACACCACACACACAAACACACACAAATGTACGATCACACAATCCACTCCCAAACTTATAAATGTAAATTATATATTGAAATTATATAACGGAATAGACAAAACGACGCATAAAAATATTTCTATTCTTTCCACAAAATATTCATATAGACGTGTCACTAAAATATTTATTCATACAAAACAAATGCAACAGGAAGAATCATCAGCATCACCGTTCGATGTGCATCGTTCACATGGGAATACTATTCAACACACAACACACACGAGCTAGTAATAAAGCATAATTACAGATTCTCACACACACATAAACAAACATACACAAACACACACATATACAAACACACTAGAACTGAACTTGATGTGCACATGAAAACTTAATGCTGGTAGCTAAGTATGGGTTGTGTAGCCATACATCAATTGATACATCAATTCATATCAATATAAAGCCTGAAGCGTCATTTAGAAATTTTTGAAAAAATGATCAGGGACAACAGAAAATTATGAGCAAATTAAAATTGCAACTACGCAAATAAAACTCTCGGTAAATAATAGAAATGAGGTGAATAATTAGGCGAGGCTACAGCAATAAATTACATTTTCAAAAAACGAAAACTTCGCAAACAATTAAAAAAATTGGCAATTAAATTTAAAATAAAAGTTAAAAATTTGGAAAAACAAAAATGCAGCAAGCCTACCCGATAGACGCAAGGGCAGAGCAGTTGTTGTCACTAAGTGCCTTCTCGATGCAGTTGTACTTGGCTTGCAGGCGGGCTATCAAATTGTTCGTCGTTTGGTAGTCGTGGAATTTCTGCAGTCCACACGTTTGTGATAATTTATTGAAATAATGAAAATTGGAACTTCGAAGACAGTGGAAAAATGGAGCAATAGACATCATTATAAATAGATAGAAGTTTCGTGTAATACAAAGTAAAGCAACAGATATAAAAAGCAGCAAAAATAAGAACGGAAATCAGAATAATAAATAAAAATAAATATATAAAAGATAACAGTAAGTTGATGAAATAGGAACAAACATTCAAATAATACTCTTCAGTTTCCAGCTGGTCGGACCGAAGTTTGTCTCTTTCAAGTGGAGAGCATGGAGTTTGTGGCGAGTCGTCCTGGAAGTACCTGGTCACGTCGTAATCCTTGTGTGTCACCATCTCCAGGAACCTGTTGTCCGTCGTTTCTAACGTTTTCCATATCTGCTCGACAACATAAGAACGGATCGATATAATTTTTGTAGATATAATTCTTATCTATCGTCCAGTTAACGTGATGCATTATGGCATGTGATGTTGGCAGTTATTTATTCAAATTAATAAATCAATTAAAAACATGAAAAAAAGTAATCATCCTAGCCTCATCATTTTCAACTTTGAGAGCATTAAGACGTTCAGCAATGGATCGAAGACGTTCAACGAGATCTTCCTGTACGGACTTCTGACCGGACAACTGGTTGATCTGTCGTTGTTTGTGTCGTTGTTGGTGTTAAGAATGTTGTTCTGTTAACAATGCTGTTGTCGTATTTTTTCAGTCAACATTGTGAGGTGCTATGTGCATCATACAGCAAGCGAAATATCGACTTATATCAATAAGCGGTTCAGAAACTATTCACTAGAAACCACAAAAATAACGTTAGTCCACTGAACAATCAAAATAAATTGTAATCAATAATTTGTGACCAAATGTAATTGTCACACACACGCGCGCGCACACACGCACATAAACTAACAAACAAACAAACACACACGCACGCACAGAAACTATCACACACAAAACACACACGCGCGCACATAAACTAACAAACACACACACACACACACACACGCACGCACAGAAACTATCGCACACAAAACCCATTCAAAATCAAGTTCAATGGCCTATCCAAAAGTGCAGGTTTATGAGCCGGTACATGACAACATGCACTTGTATTGACGGATGCTGATGTTTAGCTGGACTCACTTTCCTCCTCTTATTATGCGCATCAATAATTATTATAAAACTTCCAATGTTCTATAAGTCATAAAATTAAAACTGAAATCTGTTCATTGCAGATTATATAACTTTGCTAAAAATCTATTCAACTAACAAAACTATTCAACTAATTAATTCATAAATTAATTAATTAATTGATGTTAGTCATTTAATTGTTTACAGTTTCAATGAAAAACCCACCTCGTCTCCTTTGTGAGCTTGAAATTCGAACGGCTTCGGGGGCAGGAAGGGTTGTGTAAAGAGATCAAGAAACGTTTGTTTGTCCGACTTCTGCACCAGATCCCTGACTCGCTTGTTGAAGAGGTCCAGGCACCCATTCCTCGATTGGATCATGTTGTTCTCAGCGGACACGTGCAACATGACAGCTCGACTCAGTGTACTGTGGTAACCATAATCCATCGTCTGCAGAGGTTCAATTTTGTACTTTTCTTAAAAGAGCATTTCAAAATTTATCGTTTCTTGAGAACCATTATATTATTTGATGTAGTTTGATTTGATTATTTATTTTATTGTTTGGCATGCAATAATATAAATATCACAACATTAACAATAAATTGAGCTATTTCTGTTTTGACTGATCAAATCTGATCTGCCAAAAAAATCATTTATCTATTATTTATTATTATTTATTTATTTATAAAATTGGCCACCATATGTGATAAATATCACAAACTTGCGTGCGCACACGCACACACACACACGCATACATAGATAGATATATAGATACTGAACTAGACAGAAAATGATACAAACGTTGATGAGATCATGCAGATCATCTGAGAAGTATTTGTTCATGGATGCATTGGCTGCCTCCAGACAGAGTAGGTACTCGTTTCTTGCCTTCACTGCTCTCAACCGACTTTCCATATATTTCAACTGCCTCTGAATTTTTAAAAAATACAAAATTGAAATATCATTTTTTAATATAATTAAAAAAAGCTTGAAAAAGTGAATATAATTCCAAAAATTAAAAATGCAAACGTTAGATGGATTTGAAATTAACTGAGCAACAGATTTGACGACCTTTTCAGATTGTTTCTCAATATTTCTGAACCGTCTGGTTAAAACAACTTTGCCTGAGTGGCTATTTTCTGTTTTTATTCTCTGGTTCTCTATCTGTCGAAACTTGTTCTCGGCGTGTTGACTCTCACCATGGTAGATGTGATACGTCTTCATGGACTACAAACATTTTGCTCATTTAATTTTTGTTAAATTTTTATAACTTTATACTTCCAATAAAAAAAATTATTAACTTCATTTTTATTAATCAGCGCAAGATCTTACACTTTGTAGCTCCGTTAGTGATTTCAGTAGCTCGTTATGATGAAGGACGGCCATCTCCCGACACTGTTGCAATTTATTCAAATGATTATCTTGCTTACAAAATCAAAACTTACAGAACAACAATGAAAAATAAAAAACCAACAACCGAACATGAACACAGACGAGGACAAGAAGTAGTGCGAACAAACAAATGAAGAAAGTGAAGACAGATGAAGGACCGTCAGTTGTCTGTCTTCCACATATAATCACATCATTACGCAGTCCATTAACCAAATACAAAATTATTGTCAAATGCTGTAGACACAAAATGAAAGTATAAGAATATATACCGTATAAAGCGAGATATATTTGCATAACCAAGCGTTTCTTCTATATGTTGGAGACATATTTGTAGCTAATAAACACTGGCTGTACAGAAGTGTGCTTATAGTTATTGAAAAGTACTTAATGTTATCAGAAAGTTAGACAAACAAAATTATTTGGTTGGATAAATAGAAACACAATTCAATGAATGGAATATAATAGAGCTGAAGAAAAATTTTTTTTGCACTGCTTATATCACTTTACACTATCACGTTTGGATACCAACTCAGAAGATCCTTGATATCAAGCATTTCTTTCTTTTTGCAAACTTAAGGGACTTAAAAAATAATAAAAATGATTTCAATTCATTTTTTGAACAATACTTTTTCTGTCAACTCAAAATTTTGTTCAACTGCCTGATAACAAAGATGATAGACATCATCTTCATCTCCGTTATCATTATAATCGATAACGTAAAATATGCACAGACGTATCAAAACTCCTAAACATAAAACACCATCACATCACAGCACTCGTATGTTAGGCGGTTTAACAACACATTATAAATCACTTGGAAAATTATTCCCCAATCGGCAAAACGCAGAATGAAGTTTCTCGGATTAAATTCTGTCACAGCACACATAATCTGCAGTTATCACTCTTCCATTCTGTTGCTATCATTCCGAGAGCAAAATACGTAAAATTGCATCATGTTGTTATTATCCAACATCAATATCATTATCAATATTTTTATTACTATTTGTGTCATATAATGGCTATCAGTATTATCATCGTCGTCATCACCTTCAATACAATACAACAAAATACAATACAATACAACAAAATACAATACAATACAACAAAATACAATACAATACAACACAATAAAATAAAATACAATACAATACTGTAAAATACAATACAATACAATACAGTACAATACAAAATAATACAATACAATACAAAACAATACAATACATTAAAAATTTATAAGTAATGACGTGGGCATTACGTCCTCTTATATTAAAATATGATATAATATTGTATATACATATACATATATATATATATAAAATACTGTTTTCATACATTTATATTATATAACACTTCTAATATAATTTAACTACATATATACTAGCAATTTCATCATTAAAATAATATTATCACTATATAATTAAATATAATACAAAAAAAACATAGGCAGACACGCGTGTTGTGTGTGTGTGTGAGAGAGAGTGAGAGAGTGAGTGAGTGAGTGAGTGAGTGAGTGAGTGAGTGAGTGAGTGAGTGAGTGAGTGAGTGAGTGAGTGAATGAATGAATGAATGATGCATTACAACAGATGGTGAATAACGAGACGATTGAATACAACGATGTCTGTCTATAACATACCGTATTTTCTAATTTTTAATAATAATAATAAGAAGAAGAAGAAGAATATAAATAATGATAATAATAATAATAACTGATGTAATGTATGTGAGTAACTTGGCTCACTCGTTCACAAGCAAATATATGTAAGCTAGTAAGAGTACGATGATGAATCGCATTGATTAAACTATGTATGGATTGATAAAATATTTATATTTTTATTATTCATGTTTCAAGGGACCTTAATTTTTCCATTGGGACATTTGTGAAATTACAAAAAATTCATCATGCATTTTATTAAAATCGTGTTTCTTTTTTTAATATTTAAGCATTTAAATCTGTTTTATATTGGAGAGAATTACGTAACAAGGAATACCATTAATCTAATTATTTAATTTATTTTTCAGTACAACCCTAAATAGGTGCGTTATCTTGAATAAACAGACAAAGTGATGAGGATAGCGCAAGTGGTGGTTTAGAGTGGATAAAAACTACGAAATAATTAATTTACACACACCACACACACACACACACACACACACCACACACACACATACAGGCAACACATACAAACACACACACACTTGGAAACGTGTATATCATGATATATATATATACGTAGATATCTAAACCATCTTAATTAAAAAATAACTTCTTGATCTTTGCGATTAGCATAATGAAATAAACGACATGAAATGTTTAACTTTGCGTGTGCTGCTTATTTTGAACATTCAAAATATTCTTTCCACACTGAAAACATTTAAGAAACATATTCAAGTGATAAATTTGAAGTTATGACATTCATTGCAGGTTAATATTTAAACATTTAAAAGCGTTTATATTCGAGAAAATGAATGAATGAATTAATTAATTAAACTTAACCAGCTACAACTCAACAGTCTTATTTCAAAGCTAAATTACTAAAAAATATAATAATAATGATACAAATTGTACTATTGCTACTACTAATTACTACTACTACTATTACTACTACTAAGTAATACTAGCATTACTGCTACTATTACTACTACTGCTACTACTACTACTAATAATAATAATAATAACAACAATAATAATAATGATAATAATAAGAAGAAGAAAAAAGAAAAAGAATGAGGATAACGACGATTATGATGACGATCTGACCTTCTTATATATCCTCTGGGTGTCCTCTGCCAGCTCACTGACCCTGAAAACCATCTGGTTGGCGTACAACTCACTCAAGACGCCGTGGTCCTTGCCGAGTTTCTTCGTGGTGCTCAGCAGGGTCTGCCATATGGAGTAGGTCGAGTAGCCGGGCCATGTCTCTCGTCTACAGGAGTTTGATTGGTTGGATGGAATTCATGAATGAATGGAATGAACGAATGGAATGAATGAATGAATGAATGAATGATGAATGAATAAATGAATGAATGAATGAGTGTATGAACAAATAAACTGATTAATCGATAAAATGTTGAATAATGTATGATCAACTGAATAAACAAACGAACGAATGAATGAAAGAGTAAAAGGTGAGGGAATAGAATATCCTTTGATTAGCATATTTTATTTGACTCATTTACGTAGTCTACTGATTGCTCTATTGAGATGTTGATTGGATAGGTCTGTGGGAGTGAGTTAGCTAATAGAAGTGTTGAATGAATTATTCCTTCAATGTTAAGTGATCAAGGAATGGCCTGCTGATTCTGAAAGCATACATAAATCTTCTTAATACTAATACTCTTGATTTGTCTTCACTAAAAGTTAGTTTTCAAACATTATTTGATGTTGAATGGTTATTGAACATTTTTTGGAAGAAAAATTAAATAAAGAAAGACAATGAACAAAACAAATTAGTTATAAGTTGAAATTTTTCTTAAAAATTATAAACCATACCAAATTAACATTATGACGACGAGACGAACATCACATTTTATGATCATAGAGTTGAAAGTAAGCCACTGACCTATCACTTACTGTGTGATGTTTCTAATTAAAAGCGCCAACCAGGCCACATAAAGGTAGTGCACATTCGTTTCATCATCGGAGAGATTAAAGAAAATTATTAGATAAAAAGCATTCACAAAAATGTCACCATAATAAACGGTAAACAAGATAGAAACATTTAAAAACAGCAAGTCGTGAAAACACGTTGAATGGCAACTACAACATGTGTTCTTCGTTAAATATTTGTGACCAGATACAAAAAATACCAAACAACAAACAAAACAGCCACAATATATATAATTACACAATATTAAATATATACAATATTACAGCCACAATATTAAATATTATATATATATATTATATATAAATATATATATATATAACACATAAGATAGCTTCATTCTTGAAGGAATGAATTAAACATGGTATGCTGGCACGATATGATAACAACCTTGTGACACAACCAACATGACTTCCCCAGCCAGCTGAATTGAACTGAAACAGATGAATGCAAGTTTCTACATAATTGTGTATAATTTCAGACAACAAGGCATACCATCATGTTATTAACATCATTTATACTAAATATATATGCTTTATATGCGTGTATGTATGTGCGTGTTTGTGTGTGATTGCGTGCGGGCGTGTGCGCGTGTCTTGCCTCTGTTTAACAGTTCTTTTAATTTATCTTTCTGCTGTCGACAAAAAAATTTTTAAGAGTGGCATTCAACCTTTCAAGAGTTCCGTGATAAACGACCAAGATAATTTTTTAAAGAAAGAAACTAGCTGTACAACAACATAGTGCTGCTTAATGTAGCAGCTTACTAGCGAACAATGCGCAGAACAGGGTGCAGAGTAACAATGTTGTATCAATATTTATTGTATTGGCATTCTGCTCATCATAAATCAATGGCTCCGCTGATCGACGTGTTTAAACATTAAACTTATAAAGAAATGTTATAAAATCAATAATTTTTAGACTATTTGAGACTCATTGGTATGATTTCAACGATAAACAATTAAACCTCGAACAAAAAAACATTTTTATTTTACACAATCATATTTCAACTTCTCCATCATACAACGATGAAAAGTATGGTGAAGATGAACCAGTATGCAGTATTGAGCAGGCAGAACAAACACTCATCCCCCTATCACGTTTTGTTTCGTTAAACATTAAAATAACTGACATGCTCTGTAACAAGCGTCAACAAATGAAGAATCAATTTGACGCAAGCCCTCCCTGACTGGACCTGGACCACAGTGACAGATGGCGAATTACATAACTTAAGAAAACAATTCTATGTAACGTTTCCTAAACAAACATTCTAAACATTAATTAGCGGAAAATTATTAGAAAAAGAGAAATAAAAAGACGAAGATGAGAGAGATTTTACTTGTCTGCTCTGTGCCTGGAGACAATTTGTTTGACCAGCTTGTCCATATTCTTGCTGTAATCCTGCTCAACCTCCGCCCTTCTCTTGTAGAAGTCTTGAATCTCCACCAGCATTGCTACGTGATTCTCCAGACGAATGTCCAAACATTTCAGTTGTTCTTGCAACTGAAATCTTATGTCTGAAAATTTTAAAAATATATCGGAGAGTTTACACAATGTATGCCTTCAAATTGAGTGTGAGTCAGTGTTGTATGAAAATTGAATCAATATAATTATACGTAACATATGTATGTGTCTATATAATAATATGAATGATAAAAGGTGTGCATGCAATGATATTGATAACAGTACGTTAGACTAGTGAATAACAAATGAATCTTTAAAAGTATGCAAGCATGTACATAAAAACTTTACAAATTGAAATAATGCACTGAAAAATTAGAATGGATTGAATCAGAAAGTATGTGAAACTGTGTTCATACCTGTATGTACTGCGCGTGTATGTATGTATATATAAATATGTGTGTCTGTGCCCGTGTGTGTGCGTGCCTGCGTGTGTGAATTTACAAATTCAAGCATAAAATAAGTACCGCGCCTAAATATTTTTGTGAAGATGAAGCAAGCAAGTCACTAATCTTAAAAGACATTAAAAATATTGAAACAAAACATTGAGACCCATGTGAATTTGACGTTTCAGAGTCTTCCCTTCGCACACACAACAAAACAAACATGAGAAAACTCTGCTAACATGTCACACACAATGCAGACAGACAGCGCATGTTAAAGCTAACACATTCATTCAACATCAAGCGCAAACAAACACACTACACTGTCCATGTTAAACAAACAACTGCTGACTAATATTTTTTCTCAACCAACAACCAAATATTTGATGGATTTCTATATAATGAAGGTGTCATGTTACTTCATTGTCAGATGATTGATGTGAACAGAAGATGAATCAAACAAAGATGAAATATATATATATATATATATATATATATATATATATATATATATATTGTAATGTACATATACATTTATGTCATGTTATCAAGGTCCTTTTTAACTAATAATGGTGATGACAACTGTTGAAAATTTTAATGAATTGCATGATTTTTTAAGCAACATGCGCAAGTTTGTATGTGTGTAAGTAACTAGAGAATATATTTCGCTGGCATCAAGACTTGACAATCTCCTGGTAAGACACCATTAGATGGTCAAACCTTCAACAGTGATTGCAAACTAACTCTGAATCCAGAAAGGTTCTTTTTGGCGCCTTAATGAGTTTCGGAGAGATGAGGGACTCGTAAACTCTCCCAGTCCACAACTCGTACCTCTATAATCCAGGTTCTCAGTGCTCATAATGATTTCTCCGTTTGCCATTGTTCACGATTTTTAGTTAAACCAATAATAAGGAGAGTTACGAAAGTATTTTCCCCCAAATTATTTAATTAATCAAACAAGTCCAACGACGCAACTAAAAGGTAATTAATGATGAAACTGTTTCAACGTTTGTCTATCTAATAGATCTGTTAACTGAATCTAACAAACGGAGGAATTATTTATAATTATTTATTCGACGCTTTCCATTTTTTTGTAAATAAATTAATATTACACTATTAAATTATTAACAAACTTACGGATGCTTTATGGTTATTTTATTAACCACGAGCAAATCAGCTCTGTCCGTATGGTTTGATATGTTACCATTTAAGAACCGTTAAATCCATAAATCATGGAGAAGATGTGCAACCACACAAATCGCTAACATCAACATTCAATGCATATACTACTTAATCAATTACCCGCATTATTAATTATTTATAAACATGACTTTAAACGTTTAAATGACTTTTAACTTGAACAGCAGCGTCCACTTAATGAAAAACCTCATTCATTTAAGAAACGCTAATCCGAAATATCGCAACTGACATGTGAATGAGAGCCAAGCAACTCCTCACACAACACACTACAACACAAAGCTTCTATCAAACAAAGCCTTCGACATTGACATAGAGAGGTCTATTGTTTGCATATGTATACAGGACTACGTTGCAAATGCACACTATACAGGCATGCAAACCTTATATGCTTATACTTGTATACAACATAACAACACACATAACGTATCTATTAACACATGTGCAAATGTATATGTAACTATATTGATTTATATAACACATGAAAAATAATTAAAACACACTTATATTATTATGTGACACAAACACACACACACACATACACACACGCATATATATATATATATATATATATATATATATATATACAAAGTATATACACACATGCAAAAAACTTTTCAATAAAAATAAACGGTTTTACAATTACTATATACTATATAGCAAATTATATTTCGACAAAATAAGCATGCATGTATGCATATCATTTCGAAAGAAATTATATATATATATATATATATATATATATATATATATATATATATATATATATATATATATAGAATGTTTACGTAAATGAACATGCAAGGCATTTGTATTTTAACTGTTTGACGGCTTGTTTTGTGCCATCGGATAAGTGTCAACAATTATTTGCATAATAATATAATTTAGTGAAATTTTTTTATATAATCAATTAAACACACACAGACCGAAACACAGACAGAAACACACACAGACAGACAGACACACAAGAAATTGTTGTTTGATAACTCGACTAAATTTTCTTTTTCAATAGACGGATCTAACGCTAATTTCACACAAAGTAAAATAAAAAACTTATAGTATAAAATGGTGTTTTCAATTAAAAATTCACTTTAAAATGTGTGGTGAGCAAGTTTTTTTAAAATAAATTTTCGTGCTCACACAACACATTTTTAAATAAACGCCTTCACAATAGGGTGTTGCCCATCCAGCATATAACTACACGGCATAAAAACATTATTTAAGTCTACACATTATTTTATAAAATAATGAATTAAAATATTTCACTGTAATGTGATGTGATGTGAACTTTGCCCCCGTTTGATATTAAGCAGCCTCTACAGTGAAATAAGACATGTTCATTCATTCTTCCATTAATATTTTTGTTTATTCATTCATTCATTCTGTCGTTCTTTAGCTCGTTTATTTTCTCGTTCATTTATTCATTTATGTATACACCAAGCCTATCTGCACGTTAAAGATAATGTTAATGATGCATGTAATATGTATTGGAAGTCTCTTAATTCGTTAAGCACATGTGTCATTTAAAAATTGAAGGAAACCCACATTTTATCAACTTTCCTCCTTATAATCTCAACAGATTTATATTCCATTCTACACTTTTAATATTTTAATTGTAATAATTAACATCAAAATAATTTTATTTAGCTATTTTTCTCAAATATCATTCAAGTTTTTTAAAAGAGTTTCATTAAATATTTGTGAAATATTCTTTCCACAGAATATTAAATAACTTTTTGCTATGATTCATTCATATGTTATCTTGCATAACAAACCAATGGATGGCTGCCTGGATAGATAGAATTGAACTGAATGATGGATGCATAGAATTGAATGGAAGGATAAATAAACAGTTGGATAAATAAATTGACGGATGGATGATAGATGGATGGATGGATGATAGATGAATGAACGAATGGATGGTTGGTTGAAGGCTTCTATAACGCACGTTTCATTGTTCCTCTTTTTTAAAAAAATTTTTATCAAAGTTTCAATTATTATCGTTGCTGTTTTCAAGTTTATTATCCGTTAAACTTTCTCACGTATTGCGGTAGCTTTTAACATGGAAAAACACATCCAGTATATGAACGCTGGAAAAGAATCGTCATGTTATCATTTGTTTCAGGCACTAACGAACAAAAAAATATTTAAAGTTATGATTCATGCACATGGTTTTGAAATAGCTAAAAAAATAATCAAAAACTGCTATTTTTGTTATTTAACATAAAAAATATTTACTATTGAAAAAATAGTTGCTAAGAATTAATGTGAAATAACTCAGAGTGAAGGAAACAATTATTTGGTCTTAAAATGTGCAAACGTTCAAACGTTTATGTTTATGAGCACAGCATGTTAAAGGGGTGTTTATAAATTTGATAATTACAGCCTGCATCATGTATTTATAATCAGGAAATCTCAAACCTAGCCTTCCTGCCTCGTTTCAAATAAATCAAGGAGTGCGAGATAAGAAGAATGAGAAGAAGCTTCTTATTGGTGGGTTATTGAAACTAACTAAATAATTTAAAACTTGATTTTTAACCATCAACGAGCAATCGACCAACCATCTAATAAAACAATCATTAAATGATTGATTGAAAAGTTATTAAAAGTCAACTAAAATATCAATCAACTAACTGACCCGCTGAATTAGCAGACAGCAAACAAACTCAGACAGACCAGAAACAAACGCAGCAGAACTCGCTCAGATTAACAACACACGCCCAGATTATCATCTAATTAGTTAACAACAACTATAAACAACAACTACAAACAACGAAATAGCGGCAGCGGTCTGTGCAATAACAAACTTCAACCACAACAACAACAACAACAAAAGGACAACAAATAAAATATGTTAGCATCATAAATTAAAAAATTACCTCGCAACTGAACTTCGAACTCCACAAATGCCGGCGGATCTTTTTCTCTTCGAATTTTTAGTTCCATATGAAATCGGTTGTGAAAAGTTACAATAAAAAACCAACTGCAAAATAGAACGCAAGCTTTCTCTTAAATAAGAACATTCATCATGTCTTCCTTTAGTTTAATTAATTAATTAATTAAATAATTAATTAAATCATTCATTCATTCAGTACGTTTTTCAACAGAACATCTAAAACTACCGTTATGAATTATTATAACATTTTCACACTATGCAGTGATGACTAAGTAATGTTTTCAGAATTTAATACATACATACATACAATATACATATAATACATACACAGGCATGAATATTCAAAACAAACAAGACTATAAGATCACTAAGCATTATGCCAGAGTCTATGATATATCTACATATGGCCTATGTTTGTTATACATATTTGAAGAATCTCGATATATTTGGTATGAATATATCATCATATTTTGATGTTTATAATAATTTGAAAAACATATGTGCGATTCCTTACATGTGAATAAATCCTTTTTAGCTATATACATAAGTATATATACGGTGTAAAGGTATGTGTATTTGTGCAGTGCATACATGTACGTACACTCGTGTACATTCTGTACACATCTGCATGAAAAAAATGTGTTTTGGTGTAAAAAATATAAACAATAGAAAGATAACATCACGCTGCGATAACCACTGATAAGAATTTCTGTATACCCATCTTTATTCTTTTGTGTGCTTTCATTTGTGTATGTATGCAACGTACCTATGTACGTATGTGTATGGATGGATTAAACCCATACAATAACACACCCATTATATGTTGTATGCGTGCGTATGTATGTATTTATGTGGGAATGTATGTATGTACACGTGTGCATGTGTGTGTTTGTGTATGTGCTTGCGCGTGTTTGTATGTTAGATTAGAGTGTGATGATGAGGATGACATTGAAGGAAGATGGAGAAGTAGATGCATGCAGTCAGCAGAGCAGGGTAGTCTCATAATGCTTCCTCTCTGCTGCAATTACCATATTACATGGTTTTCCTCCGATTTCAGCTATTTTCTTGATTTAATGTAAAAATTATTAATGAAAATAAAACATTTACCAATGCGTTTAATAGAAAATTTGGTCACTGGATCAATATAAAATTTATCTCATAAATAAAAATTAATGAACGACGCCTTTGACGAATTATGTCTTTGGGTTTTTTTGCAGGTGCTCCAAACGAATATGCTTAAACATCGACGAGTTGAATAATAAAATTTAATTTTAAGACTTTCTCGTCAAAATTTTGCATGAAGATTTTCAAATTTGATCACACAACGATAAGTAAGCTGCAAATTAAAATATGAATCCTTATTTGCCAGTTGCTTCCTCGAGCAGACCAGGTTTCCACAAGCTTGAACTGAACAAAACATTCTGGGATGTCCCCATTCGATATCAAGATCTCGTCTCCATCGGCTCTGGTGCCTACGGGCAAGTCTGGTCAGTTTTATTTCTCACATGTAACAGTTATGCCAATATTTGCTGCAACAGGCACAACTATCAATTACCTAATTAAAAAAAGATAAAACTAAAAAAAAGCTTTATAAAAAAAAGCGATAGCAAATTAAAATTGGTACAAAAAAATTCAAATAATTATAAACCCAGATCTAATACTGTAACAATAATAATGGATAATGGTTCTATGCTTATGAGATTTAAATGTAAAAATATTTATAATAAAAGGCATAGAAAATAACTGCAAATAGCTTCACACACATTTTTAGCTAAATATGTAATTTTTTAACTTGAAATTTTTTAAATGTTAATGAACATTTTTGATGATGATTAGCTCAGCAAGAGATGTACAAGCACCAGCAGATGCTCAAAAGTTAGCCATTAAAAAATTGGCTCGACCGTTTCAATCAGCCATCCATGCAAAGAGAGCCTTTCGAGAAATAAAAATGCTCAAACACATGCATCATGAAAATGTTAGCTTATTATTTTACATCACCTTCATCATTTTATAGATACAAACACGAACAGTGCATGCTTATGGGGATTTTCTTGTGTCACATTTTTTAATGGTTTATGATTATTATTTATGTGATTTATAAACAATTGATGCAGCATTGAAATTTGATACCTTTCCCATTTCCTCCATGATAGGTCATATCCCTGCTTGATTTATTCACTCCAAGCACCAAACCTGATGAAACATTTGAGGATGTGTAAGGCTTCCACTGTTTAGTGTGCATGAGAATTATAGTAATTTGTATGCGAAATCAGTATGTGTGTGTGTGTGTGTGTGTGTGTGTGTGTGTGTACTGCTACCATTATAACATTTTTTATACTAATTTGTTCATGAACTTTATTTATTTTAAACTAATTGTGCAACACTGAGAAAAATAAAATAACTTCAGAATAGATTAATTAAAATTAACTACAGATTTTGATGAGAAAAACATTTCCATACTTGAAAGTTCCAATGTAAAAAATGTAAATTCAATAAGTCTTGGTTATATTTTTTTAGCTAGAAGCAAACAAATGTTTTAAGTCAGCAGAAATTTAAAATATCAGCTCTTAAAAAAAATATGATGGCATATAATGCACACGATGTTGAATAGTAATCTAAATATAATGAAGTCTATGAGAAAAAATAAAAATTTAAACCTTTTTTCATAAATCTATGTTGTTCTGTAAAAAATTATTTTAAATTGAAATATTGTGAATATATGTATATTGATTGTAATATATTAATTTAATTAATTTAAAAGTTACCTTGTGACTCCACTGATGGGTGCTGACCTCAACAACATCGTTAAAACTCAGAAACTATCAGACGACCATGTACAGTTTTTGGTCTATCAGATTCTCAGGGGATTAAAAGTATAAATCATAAATAACTCACCACTGTTTATTTAACTAGTTTATCTTCATTGGCATTTATTGTTCAACTGCTAAATAGTCATAGGTTAATGCAGAATGTTGTCAAATTTGTAAATTTCTGTTCATAGATCATATCTTTTTTTATAACTCTAAACATTCGGCCAATACATATTTAACTACTTGTTCAATAATTTAATTTTTTGTTTCATTATTTGAATAAAAAGCTAATTATTTAAATTTTTAAATTGCAGTACATACATTCAGCAGGAGTCTTACATAGGGTGAGTTGTCAAACATTCATTCATGCCTTGAAAATTTAGTTACCAATCAATGACTAACTTTAACTTTTTTACAGGATTTAAAACCAAGCAATATTGCAGTCAATGAAGATTGTGAATTGAAGGTTTTATTGATATTAGGCTACAATTTATATTGAATCTAATTTTCACTTTATGTACATTGCAAAAGTAGAAGTACTTAACGTGTAATATTTTCGCCCGAAAGATTTTAGACTTTGGACTGGCTCGTCTGACTGACGCTGAGATGACGGGCTATGTGGCAACTAGGTGGTACAGAGCACCAGAGATCATGCTCAACTGGATGCATTACAATAAAAATGGTTTCAAACACTTTCCATCATTTTTAGGGTATTTCTTACTAAACGAATTATAATAGCATCACGATAGAAATTCCTATTTTACAAAGTATTAGAAATTTTGCTTTTTGTAAATAAAGTTAAATTTAATTGAAAAAAAAAATATTAAAGTTGACGTTTGGTCTGTTGGTTGCATAATGGCAGAGTTGTTAACTGGAAAACCATTGTTTCCCGGCACAGATCGTAAGCATGTTTTCGTTTGAATTATTCATTTTCATACTGGCTATGTTTAATCAAATCACATTAAATCAATTATAATTGAATCTATTTAAAATAACTGTTTAAATCAATTTAAAATACTCATCACTAGCCATGTTTTAAAATTTTAGTTGTATTACGTTTGTAGATATAGACCAATTGAAGAAAACAATGGCTTTGACTGGGACACCCAATGCCACTCTGCTAGCAAAAATAACAAGTGAAGAAGTAATTATAAGTTAATTCATTTTTACCAGCCATTTACAATCATCAAGTTTTCTTTCACAACGTATTTTACCTCGCTTGATGTTGTTAAATATACATTACTTAATCAAACTTTGAAGGCAAAACGATTTATAAAATCTCTGCCAGTGATGGAGAAAAAAAATTTCAATGAATATTTCAAAGGACACAATCCTGAGGGTTGGTAAATAAGCTTTACCTTATCTCATTTAGTCTTCAACATAATAAAGCACGCTTGATAAAAGACAAAAAATTAATATTTCAGCCATAAATCTGCTGGAAAAGATGTTGGATCTGGACCCAGACACGAGAATCAGTGTTGAAGATGCATTGGTACATCCATATCTTGCTCATTACTCAGACCCCGAAGACGAGCCCGTTTCAGAACTTCTCGATCAGGCTTTTGAAGATCAAAGCTTGGACGTTCCTGCATGGAAAAGTTAGCACAATTCAGAGCAAAAATGATTTTTTTTGTCAGAGCGAAATATTTTTCTTATTATATGCCATTCATACGTCTTTCCAGATTTGATATTTGCTGAAATAGAGAATTTCACTCCTCCATTGAGACACGAGCCTATGGATGACAACTGATACTATTTTATAAATTTGTAGTTTAAAGTTAATTTTCGAATTTGTACCCATTATATATCTTTCTATTTATCATCGATCCATTTTAACAATATCCTATGTACTGATGAGTTTGTTTTAGATTTTTTATTTATAGATAATGCAGATGCTTCCATTTATTGTTTTAACATTTTGTTTTATTTGTTATTTATTTAATTGCATTCTCTCCAATTGGTGAATATCAATTTTATCCGACATTTTACATTTGTTAATTTCATTTTGTTTTATTTTAATATTGAAAATAATTTCAAAACATGAAAACAGTGTAACAAACAATACAAAGATTCAATGACTCAAAAATAAAATTTTAGGGTGTAACTCTTTAGTGTTTTTTAAATTATGAAAAAACTGTGAGACACCGTTCTAGCTTACAATAAAAGACGTGCCAGTCTTATATTTTTATGATAAATATTATTTGCATTACTGCAATAGAGCCAGATAAAACCACAATATATTAATATGAAGGAGTATAACGTGTCGAAATTATGTACTACGGAGGACACAATTACCACAGTTCACCTTCCTTATCTTTGGCAGGAACTTCAATAACCCGAGGTTTATCAATGATCCTAGCCGTCCTGTTGCCCTTTTCAACGATGCCAATGATCCAGGCCTGGTAGCCCTCCTGCTTCTCAATGTCTTTGCAAAAGGCTGCTGCTTGTTCACGAGGTAGTGATATCAGCAATCCACCTTTCAAAACATAGTTTTGCATTAGTCATTATTATGTAACAAACACTTTTTTGACATGTATATTAGTTTATTCAAAAAATTGTTACAGTCAAGTTTGGTATAAAAATTAATTATTTCTTGCAAGCTAACTATAACAATACCAACCCGACGTTTCAGCTGAGTGGCCCTGCAGCAAACCGAACATGTTTCCACAGGCTTTGCTGACAGCAGCCATCTTAGCGATGACAGGGAGATTGTGAATAACAAAACCAACTTCATTTTTTTGAATGCCTGCTAATTTATTAGCATGGCCCAACAATCCATATCCTCCAATGTCTGTTGCACCATGTGCATTGTACTTGTGCATAAGGAGAGCAGCTGTGTGATAAAATAAAGCATTCCGTTAGTATTTATTACATAGAACTAATTGCACACAAAAAAGTATATAAATAATAATAAATAAATAAATAAATAATAATATTTAATACATACCATTTTACAACGACCAATTCCTTTACTTCTTTAAAAAATTATGTGTAAATTTTAAATTTAAACAGATTTTTTACCAATTCTATTGAGTCGAGCCATAGAAAACATAGCTCTTTGATAAGCTTTCCTGACATCTTCTTCTCCAACAACCAATTTGATTCTGTTCCACTTTTCATTAACATCTAACCACTGATAAGCATTGGCAGCCACTAATGTTCCAAGTGGTTTGGTCAGTACCAAGACATCTCCAATCATGGCATTGTCAGGCCTGATTCAATTTCATGTAAGATCCAGTTATAAAAATATCAGCCATTGCTGCAGAAAGTAACCAGATCTAAAACATTCACACTAACATAATATATTCATTGGATTGACATACACTTGTGGCAACACCTCCAAGATACATCCAAGGGTTTACTATGGTCTGACCTCCATTGACAGTTACTCCAACCTCCTCAGCACAGTCCTAATCAGAATAATCATTTATCAAGTCATAAACATAATGACAAGTTCAGTTTCAAATTATTATAACATTGAAATGAATTTCTCTGCAAACCTTGAAGCCACTCATGATCAGTGGAACAACAACATCTCTCTCCCTGTCAGTCATTTTTTGACTAATTGATAATGTCATAAGCATGTTATCACACTCTGTAACTCCCATTGCAAACAAATTGCTCATTACAGCTGAGCCCACTATCTTTCCCTAAATTTTCAATTTATTATTTATATTATTGAAATTCATTAAAATAGGAATTAAATTGGGTAATGTTATAATTGTTATATTATAACTTCTAATATTTATAAAACATGTCTAATGAAATAACAAATTGCAATGTACTTATCTTATACATATTAAAAACAGTTTCTTCAGAAATTCCTAAAAATTATAACCATAGCAGAATATCATTAATTAGCTTATTCATAAAGTTGTTTAACTTGAAAAGAAAAAAAACTAACAAGCATGTAAGGGTCATCAATAATTGGGTATAGGCAGCTAGCTGTTTGTACTAAAGATAAACCACCATGCCTGATAGGTGTGATGCAAGCATCCATACCAATACCTGGGTTTTTAAAGCAAACAAAGTCATCTAACCTATGACAAGAATAAAACAAGAAAAGTGCAAAAATATCATAGGGATTTCAAGCTTAAATTAATTATTGAGCTAAAAAAATTGTGTTACCGAAATTCCATTAAGAAATAAATTAATTAAAATTTTAATTTAATTAAAAACAAAAAAAATCATGATTCGTTACCGATCCTCGGTGTGGCGGCGACATATTGAAAATGAGATTGCTCGGAATCAAGCAAACTTTTATCTTCGCGGAATGGTTCCAACATGCGAGTCAATGCATCACTGGGAACTTTGCAGCCCAGCCCTTTTAAGTCGGCAAACCTCGTGAGGCGAAAGTTAGGATCTAAGTCATGGATTTGAGGATCAAACGGTCGTCTGATTGATAAGGAAACTTCGTTTCGGGGTTCCATTTTCTTGAATAATTCAAAATTCCCACGTAGTTTCGATAGCTTTTAAAGAAAAGCTATGATTAATAATTCAATTTTCAAAATCTTCAATGGCTCCCGATTCTATGGAAAGCGTTCGAAATAAAGCCGGTGTACAGCGCTTCACAATAATCATTTCGGGGTTTTAAACAAAAACCATCTCAAAAACATTATTTTATTTACAAAACAATTATTTTAATGGAACTTATAATTGCAAAAAAATTCTTTGCAGTCCAATACCACACACATATATCTTGAATCTACCAGCTCTGCGAAAAAAATATTAAGTTATTTGTATTTATTTATTGTAGTTATTTATTAATTATTATGTTATTTGTATACTAAAAACATTAAATTGCACAAAGGAAAACTCATAAAAGACGGTTAGCTCACTTTTCTGCAGGAACAACTTGAAGTTCTTGAATGTCACTTACATCAACAAAAACGCATTTAGAAAACTTCACCTTTAAATGATAACCATAATCAATCAATCATACATACATATAAATAATGATATATTTAAAATTAATAGTTTAAATAATGCATCAATATTTAAAAAATTATTTACCTGAAAATCCTTTGTTGTCCAAAGCACAACCCTCTGGTCGATTGAAGCAGAAACAAAGTGATCGGCATCTAAAAATCGTATTCCTATAAAAAAAATCAGCAAAATAATTTTTCAATTTTTAAATATAACTGCAACAATTCACGCGCTAGAAAACATATCTGTTCGAAACATGTACATGAAGCGGCACTTCAACGCAGGATCGATGTAGATTAGATTAACAATGAGTAATACAGGCTAGTTAATACACGGCTTGTAAACAATGGCAACCAGAAATTTTCAGTTAAGGCTAACTTTAAAAAAATTAAATGGCTCAGTGAAAATATAGGCATAAAATTCTGACCAGTAATCTGAGCGGAATGAGCAAAAGACAGCTGACTCAACCTTTCAATCGATTGATTTGATTCATTGAACATGACTAAAGCGATGCTGTTGTCATCACCACCAGTGCATATCAAATGCTTATCACCTTAATCATTTAAACATGTAATTAATATATAAATAAATATAATTTGACAATTAGCGGCAAACTTAAGACATAAGGCAACTAAAAAGTTAGATCACCTCCTGCGTAATGTACGACATCTATTGCATTTATACCGGATTGATGGAGGCGCGTGCTGGCAACTGGGCTGAATTTTTCTGGTGAAATATGCTCAGACGAGTTATATCTCTCTTTCTCACGAATAAATCCATTCCTATCAACTTTTTGTTTCTGCCTCAAATGCGACTTCTTGAAGTGTGGAACGATTGTTTCAGTCAAATTCCATACCGTTATGTGGCCATTTGTCGCTGCAGAGACAAGCCAGAAATTTTTCTTTAAGGCAGTGCAAGTATTATTTACGTTAACATTATTGGAAGTGCTATCGTTGCTGCTGTTACATGTGCCATGATTTGGAGAATTGTGACAGCAGCTTTGAAAGAGTTTGGTCTTAAGAATGCAGTGTTTATGCTGATCCGATGTTGAAATTGTTGTAAATTCATTTTCAGTCGAACTGTACAGATGAATCCTGCAATAAAATTTTCAATAAATCATAGAAACAATATAACGCCATTTTTATAGCATCCAAAACCAACAGACTGACAGACCAACCTCACGTAACCCAGAGAACAACCAGTAACAAGAATAACAGAATCCTCCAAACGTTGTTTCATCTTCGAACAAACATCATCTGTATTCTCATTTCTTTCGTTAACGACATCAACAACACGTTCGTAGTCTGCTGAATTATGTCTCTTCAGCTCATCGTGGACGTCTGTAGCACCACAAACATCAAAGACATCAGATGCACATATGGACTCAATAGATGTGTACCTTGCTTCGAGACCTGTGTTCAGCTTGTAGTTTTTCCACGGCTTGTCCCCCTTCTTGTATTTTTTATCGATTATATGTTCATTTAACAGTTGAAACCACGATTTCATTGGTTTAGTTGCATTCATTGCACTGGTTGTTGTTGCACTGCTGTTGTTACTTATCATTGTTGTCTTGTGATCTATTAGCTCATTGTCGTTGTATTTGTTGATGTTTGAGTGAGTCAAATCAGATGAAATGATGTTAGAATCGAAATGAAGCATCCAAGCTCGAATGATTGAACCGGAGCCAGCCGTGAACAACAAAACTTTCGAATTAGTATCAAATTCTTCTTCATCAGTATACTGTTTTGTCATTCTGAAATTACTTGCTTCACTACTGCTACTACTATTGTTTTTATTGTTAGTAGAGTAATTTGTGCTACAGTTACCATCAATATTGTTACTATCATAGGAAATTTGTTTTCTACGTGACCTTCTTTTGGACAGCAAACACAACGTCATGGTTTTGATACCAGCTGAGTGACCTTTAATCGAGGTCACAACCTTCAACGTATTTGGAACATCCTCTATCGTGAAGTTGTTTGTCCCGTTTGTAACATTGACGTTGTTGATGTTGTTACTGTTTGATATTGCTATCTGATTGATGTAACCATCCTCTCCTGATGTCAGAAGCATGTCTGTTAAGTAAGTTATCATCATACATCATCAATTCAAGATTTAATGAGTCCGTGTTAGACTGAATCACAAAACAGAACCATATGGTCACAAAATAGATAGCTCTATAAAAGTCATCAGATCCCACAACAACGTACCAACAGATCCTGCCTGATGTACAGAGGAGGGAAGCTTGAGGATGCAATTGGTCTCAAGACCGTGCATACTTGGCTGCAATTTGGGAAAGTTTTCACTTTATGAAAAATTATTTATCGTTTAAATGACATTAAAATGAACTAAATTTATAAACTCTCACTCATCGATTAGTTTCGTCAAAAAAAGTTATAAAAAAAATTTATAAAATACAACGTTACAAGCCATGTTTAAAATTTAATAAAATTTTAAATTTTTCAAAAATACCTCGACAGTTTTGTGCTATAAATTACGGTAATAAATAATAAAATGAGATGACATATAAAAAATTATAATAGAAAAAACAAATAAAAACCCACTTTAACGATTGACTTGAATGACTTCATGCCTTCACTGCAAACTACTACCTGCCTCTTATTTATGTAGGCCAACGTGCACAACTTTCTATTCCTTCGATCCATTACAAAATCCCACATCCTGTGCCCTCCGCCACACGGATACGCAACCAGGAACCTGCTCTTCACTTGGCTGTAGACCACAAACTGGTTCTGAAAAATTTTTCATCGAAAAAATTAAGTATTTAAAATTGTAGGTTTGTAAGTAAACTCACAGAATAGAATCCAGTTATGTAGGGTTGTTCGACTTTGCAATCATCGTCATCTGTCTCATCCCCATCATCGTTTGATTTGCTCCAGTTCATATTATTATTAACATCCTCATCACGGAATATAAATCTGGAAAGCCAGGTGAAACCTTTGTGAACCTAGAAAACCGTGCGTTCATTGATCAACATTACCAGTCACCATTAACAACTTAAGAAATATAAATAGTAACGTCAATAAATGAAAAACATCACGTCACACAGAATTACAAAAACTCCCATCAAATGACATCACATAGTACCACATCCCGCCACACCACACCACACCACATTACATCACACCACACCACACAAGGACCTACACTATAAATGTGGATCATCTGAAAATCATCTGGACACGTTCCTTTAAAAATCCTAACGTAGCCATCCCGACCGCAACAGAACACCTGGTCACCATGGCAACGGACGTCTGTGACACCTGAAGTGCCAAAAAGTTTGTGGTAGGTTTTGGACGGTGGTTGTGGTGCAGTTTGGAGTCCGTTGTGGTCGTTCATTTCCTGTACGGTTGGATTTATTTAAATAATTTTTTTTTTTTAAATTTTTTGAAAGAAATAATCAAACAAAAAATTGAAAATAAATAGTTAATCTAACAAGATAAAATCCCAAAAGTACAAAAAAACCTAACACTGCCACAAAAAATTTCGCGCCCAACAAATGAAAATAACGAGTCTTACTTTATCAATATGCTTATAAACGTGTATGCTTCCAGCTCGATCGCCACAAATTAACATCCCCCCACGGGCTGATGATGAAGACGATGAAGATGGCACCAAACAAGCTGCCGTGACCCATTTTTGAAGAGATGTTGACGGAGGGAGGGAGTAATGAGATATCGGAAGAAGAGAGAATGATGAGGTTGACGATGATGGTCTTTCTACATCCCCAGTAACTCTCGATACGATCTTATTTAGAGAGGTGGAATTCCATAAAAAGTTAATTTATACTAACTGCGCCAACACATTTCATTTTAACAATAGCTGCTGTCAAACAACTGCTAACATAAATTATAAATTACTAACTTACCACACTTTACAGTAATCACTATCGTATTTGAATGTAGTGATTAACGCCAATCGGCACAATGTATCAATAAGACGGGAGTAGCATAGAATATACAGGCTTATATGAAGCATATTTAACTATATAAAGCGTATGTATAAAATATTTATAGCACGCACACACATCCACACACACACACATACGCACACACACATCCACACACACGCGCGCGCGCGCACACACACACACATATTATCCCATCACAACTAACCAGATGTCCTTGAGGACCTGATGTTAGCAAGACAAAATTTGCATCATAGTCAGTGCAACTCATTCCTTTAGCATCGCATTTTCTGCTACTTCGAAATATCCTTTCGCCTCTATCGTCTTCATCATCGCCATATTTGCTGTCTTTATCATCATCGTCGTCATCATCATTTCCTATCTCTGCATCTTCAACATCATCGTTATCACCATTCCCTTCTACTTCTTCTTCTTCTTCTTTGCCACTATCACCATTACCACCAACATCACCACTATTATTATCCACCTCACAATTTTTTTCCTTCTCTGCGTAATCATTGTGAATTTGTTTTATACCAAAACCTCTCGCGCCAATCCACGTGACGTTGCTAACCTTGCCGTCGTACAACTTCCGTTCACACAACACGGAAACTGAATCGTCTGTACGTGAGATGTGTGTGTCAGATTTTCCATTTAAACGAATGTAAGAACAGTCCAACAACATTATATCAACGCATAAAACAAGCACGGCTACAGAGAGCTTCATGATACAACAAACATACAACAACTACACAACAACCACGCAACAACCACGCAACAACCACACAACAACCACGCAACAGCCATACAACAACCATGCAACAACCGTACAACAACAACGCAACAACCACACAACAACCATACAACAACCGTACAACAACCACGCAACAACCACACAACAACCACACAACAACCACGCAACAACCACACAACAACCACGCAACAACCATACAACAACCATGCAACAACCACGCAACAATCATACAACAACCACACAACAGCCACACAAAAATAACCAGATAGCAATTTCAATAAGATGACAGATCCGCGTATGTTTCCAACGACAATAACATTCCTGCTGTTAATTTCCAGCACACTATACGATGTATAGTCCTCCAACTGCCTCAACACCACACATCTATCGGTCGTCACGTTGTAAAGACTGAGTAGGCTGAGTCAATGTAAATTTTATCGTTAATCCACGATGATGACGTTATTACGACGTAATAAGGACGAATGACGTCACGGTGATGTAATCATGGAATTGTTTTGGTAGCTGATGATGTCATGGCGTTATTGATTTACTGATTGGCATCAGGATGACGTAATCATGACGTCATTCTTTATGACGTAATCATATAAAATCATTAATGATAATAATGAAATGATGATGTTATCATCGTCATTCTCAGTATAGCATGATAAAGAATGACAGATAATAATAACGATAGATACCCTTTGTCTGAAAGTAGGAGGAGCTTAGTGCTGTCAATTAGTCTGAGAATTCGAGGAAAATCATCTTTCTTAGTGTCAAATGGAGGTAAATTGTTAACCTAACCATCATTATAATTGATGAATAATTAATTATAAATACAATACATTACAATACTACACATTAAAATATAATACAATGCAATAGATGAATAATTTATTATGAATACAATACATTACAATATATTACAATACAATACAACACAATACAATACAATAAAATATAATAGATGAATAATTAATTATAAATACAAATTAATTATGTTCGAAATGTTGAAGTAGAGTTTGATTTGAAAAATAAGTAGGATACTTGATAGGAAGGACATCTGAATGTCTTTGTGGTTGCTGAAGTTGTCGAAGAAGATGACGACGATGACGATAACGATGATTGTGGTTGCGATGATAACAATGGCGATGATGGTGGTTGCGACGATGACGATGGTTGTGGTGGTGGTGTTTGCATCTTCCTTTTCCACATTCTTATGCCGCCATCACCCCCGCCTGTAAACTTGAAAACAAAAACAAGTCCATCAATTGTAATCTGTTTTGACGGTTAGGCAGAATAGAGCATGAAGAAATTAAGAAATCAGATGGATGATATAATTTGAAACAAAAATCAAGATAAAAGACTACAATCAAGCAAAAAACAGCAAGAAAACAAAGACGAAAAACATGTTAAAACAAGGACCCAAGGATCAACCAAACAACAAAGAATATTATGAACAAACAAGATGACAGACAAAAAACGAGCAAACAAGATGACAAACAGACAAGAAAAAGAACAAACAATTTTGATGGGCAAACAAGATGACAAACAGACAAGATAACGAACAAAGAAAATGATGAACAAACAAGATGGAGATGAATATTCACCACACTCACTATTGTCTTCTGTTCATCATCAACTGATACACTCCAAATACTTTTGCCCTGAAATAATTCAATTAATATATATAGAAAATAACAACGTCCTACCTCGGGAAACCGGGTCTCTGGACGCAAAACGAAGATTGATTGATTGATAGAAAATAACAAATAAAAACATACATTGACATAAAAAAATTCTTATTAGCTAAAAACTAATTAAATGACAAGAGTAATAATTAAATGTTTGACCTTGTGACCTGTAAACTTCTCAACAATTTGACCTTGAGGACTCCAAACAATGCACGTGGCATCCTGAATTTCAAGTACAACAATCATGAAAGCTATCAAACAAAAACAATTCACAAGTAAAATAAAAACAACAACAACAACGTCAGCAACAAAAGAACAACAAAGCATAAATGGACTAACAAGGATGGCAAAAGAGCAGAAATTAAAAGAAAAACATAAACGAATGGATGATTATTTTCCTTACCTCGCTAACACTGACAACACAATGATCCTTGAGAATGAGAGCCTTCCAAACACGAGCCACATGACCAAACAAGACCAACGTTGGTTCAAAACTCGCATCTCGCCACAATTTCCATTCTTTAAGAAAGTCAAACAAAACATCAATTTTGAGGTGAACAACTTTTCAAATGATCACACTCTAGATAATCATTACATAATGACGCCAAAATCATCACAGTCTTTACCCTCATCGTCCTCATCATCACCGCCAGCGTGGTTAGCACCTGCCTGGGGGCTGACAACGACCTTCCATACCCTGACACTACGATCGTCGGAAACACTGCAGAGCTGCCTGCTGCTCCAGCACCAATCCAAGCCTGATATCACGCCCTGGTTTTGTCGGGAAAAAATGGCATTAGCAAACACAAGTCATGATACATCCATGTCCTAACTGTGGAAAATATAAAATCTATCAAAGTTGATATAAAATTAAAATCCAAAAATGCTTCTTTTTTTTTTATTTTTACTATTTCATTAAAATGGAATTATTTGTTACTGTAGAATTCTACATGTATCTCAATTTTGATTAACTGATCATCTAAGTAGCACACTTTATTGAATTGCCAAATTTAATTCGATTATTTGTTTTAACTTTAACCAATTTTACTCTCCTTTAATCTCTTATTATTTGTATTACAGCCTGTATATCTAACGCAGAATAAAACAAGAGAATTTGTTTATACGCAAACACGATAAATTTGACCAAGTTTGGCAAAATGATTCAAATGAAAAAAAATTACTTTGTGACCAGTTAGTCTGTGAATAACTGGAAAAACAACGGATGGAGAGGTAGAAATCGTTGTTGGTGATGTTGTTGTTGTTAATGACATCATTGTTGTTGATGCAGATAAAGATGTTGTCATGGATGCTGATGATGAAATACTATTACAACTACTGCTGTCATCAAACACAGGCCAGATGATGATCTGATTGAAGACAGTTCCTCCCAATGCAACCATCTTGTTCTTCCATTTATTGCTTATCAAGAGCTTGGCTGAGTATCTGATGTTATGGCGTTTAAATGTTTTAATTAGTTTTTATTTACTGAAAGCTTTCAGTGAACACTTGCAATGTAAATAAAACACAGTAACAGAAAATTTATAAAAAACACATCCCCACAAACAATTATTTTTTCATTTCCTAGATTATATTGAAAAATTTACGACAAAAACACCAACAGATTGAAAACATAGGACCAACAAAATGCACGACTCATCAGACATAAAAATCTTCAATGTATTAAAACTGCATGGATGAAATGTAGCAATGGTGTTGTTGCTCATGTACACGACCAAGACATCACTCCTTTTGTTGCTGTTGGTGCTGCCATTGCTGATGTCATTGTTGTTGATGTTGTTAATGCTGTTGACGTCATCGTGGTTGTTGTTGTTGTTGCTGCTGCTGTTGTTGTTATTTGATGGTGTTCTCATTCCCATCCATCTACAATCTCTCACCCAATGTGTCATAAAATGTTCTTTTGAAGATTCTACGGATCTGAAAAATTTTTAAATTAGATGAATTAATTAGATGAATGGTACGGTACATTCTGATCATAAATAAAATGTTTGTAATTGAATATATCAAGGAGTTAAAACTTGGTAAGAAATGAAATTTGTTGATAAAATTAAAAAAATTAAAATCTTAAAAATGTGAATAAATCAAAGTTATAAGATAGGCAGAATACTTTAAGTTAAGATCAATCCTTAACAACTTTATGAATTTTCCTCCAAACACACAGAACTCTTTTGCATCATCTGCAGAAATCGTTATTAATTACATTATCAAACTGAAATCATTAAAAACTTATATCATTAAAAAAAGATTAGTCAAAAGAGAAGGAGATATAGAAAAATAGATAAATAGAGAGAGATAGAAAGAGAGAGAGAGAGAGAGAGTGTGAAAGTGCGTGAGAAGGAAGAGAATATATAGGTAAAAATATAATAATAGATAAATAAAACAAAATGTTTTATTTACACAAACTGAAATTACAGTTAAACATTAATCAGTAATTCAGCAAAAATCTCACGTGGGCTTGGAACGATCCCATGTACAGAGGCACATGAAAATATTTTAATCCGTTGTTTGCAACCACTGGCCAAATGATACAGGCATAAATATGATCCTTCCCCTATCATATCAACAACTATTTTATTATTATAAAATTTAAAAAATAAGTACTGAAATAAAAAACACACAAAAAAGAATAAAACATACATCTTATTTCATTTTTCATGTGTTTTAGTATTCATTTATTTAATGCCAATCTATCTTCTAATAAATAAATCCTCTCTACTAATCTAATGTGTAATCTGTAATGTCAATCTGATGTGTAATGTATTCGTAATGTAATGTAATGTGTAACATCTGAGTATGAGTCTGAGTGAAGGAGTGTGTGAAGGAAGCTAATGAAATTTTCAGTATCTTCTAGATTATTTTGCAAGTTATTTGAGTTCTATTATTTAATTAACATTTATATATTGAAATCCTCGGCTGTGCAATCATTGGCTAAATTTACACACCTTGAGACAAATAAATATTTTCAATTTTAGATGAATTTTAATTTTGTAATTTAACTTTTTTGATTGAAGCACCCACCTGACAAGAGCAGATCCTTGCAAGATAAGAGAGCCGTAACGGAAAGATGCAGGACATCCGACGTGAACATCGCAATAAATCGTCAGTCAAAAGCAACTACTAATTTTTTTTTGAAATAATTTATATATGTTGCGAAATCATCAACACAAAACTATTTATTATCGTTCATGCACGTTTGTTTACATAGACGCGACAAAAAAATTCGCCAAAAATTCAGTCATAGTTATAAATCATTGCTAAGCCGGTCAGAAATGAGAAATTGTTTCCAGCCATATATATAGAGTATATACATTATATTCTGTATAAGTCATATTCTATGTATATGTTTCCAGGAGTACTCAAATCAGATGATGTATGATCCTAAGATTGGTTATAAAACATGGGATAATTCGGTCGGTCTTGGAAGAGAACTTCATGCACCGCACATCGCATTCCACGTTGCACTCCAAATGGTATTGCAAATAATAAACACACACACACACACACACGCACACACAACACACACACACCACCAAACGACAGCAGCATACAGACACCACTCAAAATTCACAACACCACAGCACAACACCCAACAGATACAACGCAGAACAACATTTTACCGCATACACACCACAAAAACACACCATCACAACCCAGGAAAACGCCACACGACTTAAACAGACCACACACAAAACTCCAGATGGATATCATACTTGCAGGCTGATGCTATACTTTAAGATTTATCGTCAGTCCATTAAATACAATTACATATAAGTATACGCATATATATATATATATATATATATATAGTCATAGCTGCTTAGGGTGAATTTTATTATTTAATCAAATTATAAGCTATATAATGCGCACAGCTAAATTTTCGCTTCATTTACATCATGGTCTCCATCATTACTCTGTTTATTTCCAATGACTTTTTCCTTTTTCTCCCTTTCTCTTTCACTGGATGTACGTTTAGTTTACACACAAAATACATCGTAAATGCAAATAACACACGCACATAAACACAAACAAACACACACATACATCATAAATGCTAATAATCCACACAAACATACATTGTATATATATATATATATATAATATTTATTACACGTATAAATAATACTTAGCATATATTGTACATAGATTTAGAGGCTTCCTACGGATACAAACTCGATAACTGCTTTGTTACGCAGTATATCTCGACAAAATGACGACAGAGTTTTATGAGATGGTGCTTGTTGTGTGTATGTGTACGTACATGCAGGTGTGTGCGTGCGTGCGTGTGTGTGTTTCTCGCCTGGATAGGGGAAATAAACAACATTTATGTGGCATCGTCGATTGGAAGCCATAGTATATAACAACTTGCAAGTAGTTAAATACGGAAGCGGAACAGCGCGAAGAATACGCTTGTCCTAGCCTTGTGTTTGTCTGTGTTTGTGTTTACGACTTAACGTATCTGTTTCTTGCTTTCTCTGTGTGTATTTTTGCATGTGTGTATGTGCGCGTTTGCGTGTGTGTGTGTATGTGTGTTTGTGTGATTTTATTAGCGGATCAAAAAAGAGCGTCATCTACTTTTTTTTATAGTTAGTTGACACAAATGAAAATCTGGAAAGTTGGAAATTTTATTCGAACGAAAGTAAGGAAACGAAATGATAAATATAGTGACCGTAATTCACATTTGAAGGTATGAAATATCTAAAATAATAATAGAAAGAAGGAAGGCTTGAATAGAAATCGGTTAAAATGGAGTGAAAATTGACGGAAAATTGAATTTATCAAGAACGCAAATAACAACAATTAAATGTACAATTAAATTGAAGAACATGATTGGAAAAGAAATAAACAACACGCTCAGAGCCATCTAACAGAATCATGTTACATTGTTAAATGACAACGCATTCATTCTTTTGGAATAAACTCTATAAGGTATGCAGTGCACCGATCGATGAAGTCACTTCGAATAAAATTGCCATGGAATGAAAACGTGTAACGGTCTTTCCACATTATATAATTAATTACTCAACAAACCGAGTAAATTAATAATAATAATAGTTTGTCCGTTCAGAAAACTAGTTTGCTTATCAAGTTAGGCAGTGAAGCGAGAGAGAGAATTATTCTGTTTATTCATTTTAATGATTTTAAATTAAAGCTGAGGCAATGAATTAATGATGAGCAGCGAACAACAATCACAATTGTGCCGGCATTGAAACATCAACATCCGCAAAAACAACAACAACAATAACAACAACAAATACATCATCAACAACAAATACAACAACAAATACATCATCAACAACAAATACAACAACAAATATAACAACAAATAATAATATTCACCACAGAAAGTAGCAACAAGTAGAAAACAACAGAAACTACAATAGCAACAACAACAACAACAATATCAAAAACTACAACAACAATAACAACAACAATCGCGGCCGTGTGATAAAAATTAGCAAAGATTGCTATGTAAACAGTGCAAGTAAACATTCATAAGATTAATAATAGTGAAGCACAACAACAACAGTAATAATAATGAACATTAATAACAATCGTAATCGTTCCAAATCGTTCCAAACCAAATAATTAATATATTATATGATATAAAGAATGATCGGAGTAGAGGTACTAAGAAGTGGTTACATAATAAATAACTGAACAATTAAGAATTAACAATAAAGAACTGAACAATTGTAATAATAATAATAATAAAAAGAAGAATAAGAATAACTAAAAATAGAAAACGTTCTATAAAACGAAAGACGACAAAAAATTACAGGTTGCTGACAACAAAACCGACAAAAAAACATTGCGACATCAGTAACAATAGCAACAAATAAGACAAATAATAACAACAATAATAACAACTACAATAAAAACAACTACAATAATAACAACAACAATAACAGCTACAATGATAACAACACTAACATTATCGTTTCGTTATAATTTTTTTAAATATATCATTTTGTTATCAATTTTTTATTGATATTATTGATTGTGACGTCATTATTATTATTATTATAATTTTTTTACTAGATATAGAATATGTAGAGAATTTTGTATTGTCTATTTTATGATTAATTTTAAAAATTAAAATAGAACTAATTATTTTTAAAAATATTTCGCAAAATTAATTTTAATTAAATTCTACTGTACTAATTAAATTCTACTGTACTAATTTGTAATATATGTTCATCTAATTTAACTGTAGAATTAAGGTCAATAATAGTATCTACAATGTATCATAATATAATATCAAGATATAATTTATATGATTTTATAGGTTTTATATATGATCCATAAACCATGTATATCAAGTATATCAAAGATACAAAAAGTATATCAAGATAATTTGATATAACCACATGATTTACGTTACGACTAATCAAATTGTAAACTTATGATACTTTGCTTATATGCATTGATAAGTTGTTAATCATTGTGTTGTGATGATAGCATGTATTATAGCATGTTTCAATTTCAACGGTTTGAAAAACAGTTATTTAATTGCATGCCTTGTTCAATTTGAAATTACAAGTTGAATAAGGCATGCAATACTCTGACAGTTTTAAACAACTGCATATCAGACAGTCTCAACCCAATATGTATATACATACATTATATAAGTATATATAACTATTTGTATATTATATATATATAAATGTGTATAAATATATGTATAAATATTTATACGGAAGTAAGAGTACAAGAGACAAAAAGTTAAATTTAATCACATCGTCACCATCGGCGTCGGGTCATCCACATCATAATTATCATAATTCGTCATCGTGATTTTCACCATCATCGTCTTCGTCGTCGTCATCGTCATTGGAAAACAGGCAAGCAGTAATATGGCATCTTGTTTTATTGCATTCCGTTACTACAATACTATGCACAACAACGACGAGAACTTTGTTGACACGTTTGCACTGTTTGCTCCCAATATATTTTTTATCAACTTCGTCATCACCATATTCATCATTACCATTATCACCATCATTATCATCAATAACATCACCATCATCGTCTTCGCCGCCGTCGTCGTAACTACCAGTACCATCATCATCATCATCATCATCATCATCATCATTATCATCATCATCATCATCACGGGACGGACATCGTAATCATTGAAGTGAACACTTGTCGGCCACACCGGAAACGGAAGTGATGACGGAATTGGGCAGCTCCTTCACACGTGACGTCAACTCGTCAAGGTTCTTCGGAAAGACGGAATCTGCAGGCGTATAAACGTTCAAATTTAAATATTTAAATATTTACGATAATGAGAACAACAACAATAATAACTATTATTATTATTATTATTATTATTATTATTATTATTATTATTATTATTATTGCAATTAAATTATCTCAATAATATCAGCAAAAATAGTAATAATAATAATAAAATCAAGAAAAAGCAGAAAAAACGTTTGTTGTACAAAATATCAGAATATAATAACTGCCTTGGGCCGTTAAACACGAGAATGCACTTACCTTCATACTCACACACGTACACACACACACACAACAAACACACACACACAACAAACACACACATACACACACACATACAATCAAATACAGACACGACACAAAAGCCCAAACGTTTCTAGATGGAGAATACTTAACACTTACCTATACGTGTATGTATACAAATGAATCTAAACACAGAAATGAATCTAAACACAAACCATGGGCATCTATATATTATTTACTATACGACCCAAGCACACACAAACAAACACACACAAACAAGCACACACAAACACACACGTGAAAAAATAATTTTCGAACACAAGGTAAACAATTAGGCTTACGCTTCTAAATGATTATGTTTGTGTTGGTGATTATAATTAGTGCCACGTTGTATACATGGTGCAAGGAATATTGATCTGCAAGATCCATCATAAAACACAAACATTAACAACAACAGCAGAAAAACTGGTAAAAAAACTGATAATCATGTTCCTACTACCTCTTCTATTATCCCAATTACAAACACTACTATTACTGCAACAACAACAACAACAACAACGAAAACAACAACAACACACAATGGATTGACAACGTTGAGATAAGACAGCAACACAAAAAAGAACAACAGCAAATAACAACTAGGAAACCAGTAACAAATACAACAACAACAATACAACAATGACAACAACAACGAAGATAACATTATCACTTGCAGAGCAGAGCATTGTTTGCACAGGAACACGCTATCCAAGACTCAATAACATGCCAACGTTATTGTTAATAAAAATTTTATTTCCAGGACCATCACAAAATCAAAACTTACGACATTAAAACAACAACAATCAATTTAACGGAAACGACAAAACAAAAACAACAACGACAACTAAACTAATAACATCACTCAAACAATATACCAACAAATAAGCAACTAAAGAAACAATTAAGCAAACAAGCAAACAAACAAACAAACGAACAAACATCAATAAAACACACTACTAAGTGGATAATAAACATACCATAAAACATCAGATTAAATGTTTATTGCAGAAAACTACGCAAGCACGTATGTTTAGCAAAAAAAATGAATGCGTATTAACCTTAGACGCAATTACACATTTATTAATACGCAATAAATAATCAATCATTCTTAAGCGCTCTTATAAAATTGTTTATATAATAAAATTTCAAAAATGGCGCCAATTTTTTTCCGAATGATTCGGAAAAAAATTCTTTTTCTTTGTTTCTTTCTTTGATTTTTGTTTTTTCTTTCTTTCACAGTAGGCGGAAGTTTTTGAAAAATTCATAATCAACAGTAGCAGGATCATCAATCGATCATCTTTTATAAAATCAATGATAAGCAAAAAACTCTAGTAGTAGAAAAAATATTTGAAGTAACTATCCATCCAACCAAAACTGTATGGAATTGGAACCTGGATGGAGGAGTAATGTGATGTATGTTGAAATAAAAATGTGTCCATGTGTGTTTGTGCGCGTGCGTGTGTGTGCGCGAGAGAGATTAAGTAGAGAAAACAGAGTTCTCCAAAGCTGTACTAGTAGTTGTAGTAGTAGCTTTGTAGTTGTGGCGGCAATGGTATTTGTAGTAGTCGTTGTAAAGTAGTAGTTGTAGTAGTTGTGGATGTTGTGGCATTAGATGTTCTAAGTGTAAGTGAATACGTAAAACGTCTATTCGATATCTAACAATAAGTTTTGTATATGTAGAAGTTGCTGTATTGTAGCGAAACATTAACTTCATCTCACATTTAGACATTCAAATGAACGAACTTGAAAACTAGGGCTTCATTGATTTGCTGACAAGGCGCTCAATGCTTCCCAACACTGAACTTATACGAAGGTAACAGTGCACCTCACTTTGGTCGAATATTTTTTTTAGAAAAATCAACTACATATCGTTATTACTGTTACTACTCATAATAAATAAACTATTGGTAGTAACAACAACAATTACTTCTGCTGTTACTGTTGCTACTGTTGCTACTAAAACAACAACAACTACTACTACTACAAAAAATTACTTACATACTGAAATTTTTTTCAAATTTTTGTAACGGCAAAAATTAATTTTTGTTGTATATTTAGTACAAATAGGAAACCAATGAAGTCAAAGAAGGTAAACATTTTCATAAGAATAAGACGAAAATTATCAGTTGTGGGACATCATATGGAATGACACATCAGCACATCGAAGATAACACAAACAAATTTTAAGAAAAATTAGTTGTAAAAGTTTGAATTGAGCGAAGGAGGCGTCGAACGAACGACATTAAACTTTTATGAGAAGTTCGTGAAATATTTAATACCATCCAACATGAAAAGAAACCAGTCAACAAAAATTTAACGTCGACAGCCACTGAAAAATCGGACATTCAACACTAAAGTAATAATCACATGACGGCTAACTCTAGTAAATACTTTTAAAAAGACTGCATCACTTCAAAATGCCGTCATCAAAAAATACTGCCATTCAAAAATACCATTACAAACCGTTGAAAATGTTGTCGTGGAGTGATTTCTCGTAATTTAGCCACGATTAGAAGTGTTAGTTAACCGGTTAATCGCAGCAGTTAACGCACTTAATTTCAGTTCAGTGTTATGGAAATAAGTCATATGTAATTGTATTAGCTTCTTATGAGCACACTCACACATGACCAGCCGTAAATATAATTGCATTGCAAAATCTCATCTACATAGAAAAATTATCAGCACTACTGCGTTATATATGAATCAGCAAGCCAAATAATCATGTTGTGCAAATATTCCCGGGTCTTCCATCCACATTTCTATCTTTCTAACTATCATCTGTATCTATTATCTATCATCTTTGTCACTCTTGTCGTTATTATCACTTTTATTTTATTTATATCGACTTTATTCTCACACACGCCACACTGTAACAATTACTAAAGACCTACCCAGCTCATCTTTTTCAATCATCATCTTAAACTTTATCATTGTAATCATCGTCATCATGGAAAAGTTTTTCAAGAAGCAGGTCAGGCATGTCACATGATATGCAGGTGAAATTGGCGTCCAATGATTTATTGGACCTCACGTGATTAAACATCACATGACCACACCACATCACATGACCACACCGCATGACCACATCACATGACCACACCGCATGACCACATCACATGACCACATCACATGACCACATCACATGACCACATCACATGACCACATCACATCACATGACCACACCAGATAAACACATCACATCACATGACCACATCACACCAGATGAACACATCACATCACATGACCAAACCAGATAAACACATCATATCACATGACCACATCACATCAGATGAACGCATCACATCACATGACCACATCACATCACATGACCACATCACATCAGATAACCACATCACATCACATGACCACATCACATCCTCCACCCGCACAGCCGACTGACCAACTAGCCGATCGTATTTTTCATCGCTGCTAACGAATGAAGCGTGGATGGTTAGAGGCCATGCCGAGAATTTTGAACAGCGCCACACTTTGATTGATTGTTTAAGTGTAAAATATTCTGCAGTATGTCTGGATACTGGATAAATTAGATAATGGTGTGAAAGACAAGTGATACAATATTACGTTTCTATGGCTAAGTTCTTTACATAAAATGTTGTAACAATTTGATAAATTAATACAGTTTGTTAAAAAAATAGTGCTAAAAGTTAGAATATCTTGAAAAACGTTTTCTTAAAACACCTCTATAGTAGGCTCTGCAACAAAATTCTTGTAAAAAGTAAAAAATATCACCGAAAACAACAAACAACAGCAAATTACAAATAAAAACCCCTTCCAACCAGGAACAACCAAAACAACAGCATTAAGATATAATTACATAAGAAGAACCATCGCTGCATAAATAATTTATGCGTCCAACACGATATACACACGTAAAAATACTGAAACAACCACACTCACAAACACTTCTATACTGCCAGCTAACCAATGTGTATGTACAGCATCATCATCATTGTTATCGTTATTATCCCAATCATAGGTTTCATCGTCATTGTCGTCAACCTCATCTTTATCATCATCGTCATCATCGTCGCTAATTTACAACAACTAAATGTACAGGATGATGTTTGACACAAACGATTAGCACTGGATTTGCTTGTTCCAACCCTAACTCTAACCGCACCCTAAACAGATTTTGTGGCCACCTCAGGGTTTGTCCCTGGCCTAGTCCTCTTCTTCATCCTCCTCTTATTGCTCATTATTATTATTTATAATAACTTAATTTTCTCTCAATGACAATATCTCTAAAGCATTTTTCATCTAAATGACAATACAAACCGACAAAATTGGCAATCGAGCTAATATCGAAACAATAAGAGAAAGAGAGAAAAAGACAGAGAGAGAGAGAGAGAAAGAGAGAGAGAGAGAAAGATTAATGTCGACCGTAGAGTTGATCTCAAACAATAGAATCTCATATTGGCATTCGAAGTAATGTTTATTTGACTGAAGGAACTTATTAGACTGACATATTCTGCAATATATTTCCTTCATCTGCAGATGTAGTAAGTAATAAAGCAAGGAAATGAAAATTTGTGTGCTGGTGGTGGTGGTGGTTGTGGTGGTCATGAACATGACGGTAGCGTTACGACAATATTTTGTTTACCTGCTAACAAAATTAAAACTAACAACGGCAAGAAGCTGTTATGATGATGGGAAAAATTACAATGATAAAAATTACTACTACTACTACTACTACTACTGCTGCTGCTACTACTACTACTACTACTACTACTACTACTACTACTACTACTACTACTACTACTACTACTACTAGTAGTAGTAGTAGTAGTAGTACTACTACTTTTAGTATTACTACTACTGTTACTACTACTACTAATAATAATGTAATAATAATAATAATAACAATAAAATAAAAAGAATAATAACAACAATGATGGTAACAACATACTATTCCCAGACGGATCGTAGTTAGGATCGGATTCCATGGCGAGTTCCTCGGGAGTTTTCTTCTTGCGTCCCAACCTCCCTTCCAATCCAGGATCCTCTTTTGGAATCTCCTTCTTTTGTATGTGGTACTGTGTGTGTATATGTGATTAGAGAATATGAATATGTACACTCACACACAACAGCACACACACACATGCATGCATGCGCGCGCGCACACACAAACATACATCTTTTTATACACCGCATATACACATAATATATTTAGTAGTTTGTTTTGCCTTTTAAATTCAAAAAACTGTGAAAAACATTGCTAACGAGCACAACGATTTAAAGAAATTTTTTGAAGTTGCTTCGTATTGACGATGCAAGCGGTGACGAAGATGTTGAATAATTGATGCTGGCTTTGATGGAAGACGTGATAAGAATGGAAGTGACTAATTCATTAGTTGGAAAGATGATAGTGGTGGTGAAGATGATGATGGTGACGCTAAAGAAGATGATGATGATGGTGAAAATGATGGTGACGCTGAAAAAGATGAGGGTCGTGGTGAAGATGATGGTGACGGTAAAGATGAGGATGGCGGTGGTGAAACCGATGATGAATTTCATAAATACAACGATGACGGCAATGAATGTAACGATGGTGCTGTTATAATGATGATGATAATAACGATAGATAGAGCTGGTAGAGAGAAAAATAATAATGATTAAAACAATGATGACAATAACATTCGTAATGGGGATTAAAATGATAACACTAATAATAATAATAACAACAACAACAACAACAACAATAATAATAATAATAGTGATAATGATGAAGATGAAGCGGAAAATTTTGACATAAAAGGTGGCTGGTGATAAATATGTCGAGGACTTTGTTATAAAATTTAGAGTAGGATAATGCGATTGACCAGGGAGTGTTGGTCAGCGAATGTCAGCTGATGAAGCGCTCAGTTGCCGTGCATACATCCTTCGCTCCAGCGTAACGTGATGCCGCATATTCAATTCATGTACCTAGTGCACACTTCTTTGAACAAACCCGTTTTTATAAACATACACTCACACATGGGTGAAAACACGAACAACATAAAAAATAGGCGTATGTGCCATGAGTACTTGTGTGTATGTGTGTGTGTGTATGTGAGAAAGAGAGAGAGAGAAAAAAAAAGAGAGAAAGAGAGAGAGAGAGAGAGATTGTGTTTTTGAGCTCAAGTTTCTGAAATTAAAATTGATAACTTTCCACAAATATATTTTTGTTGGTTTGCTTGAAATCTTTTCCCACTTAAATTTTATTCCCATTTGTTATCACCTCTTTCAAATTGCATGGAGTTTCAAAGTGCTGATGTGCCGGTACTAAACGGATTAAAAATAATTTTCATCCAATTAGAAGAATTCTTTCTTCGTTCGAAGTGCTGCAGTTGCCGTTGCTGCTCAGAATTTGTTGCCTGGCACCGGCGAATGGAAGATTGCTCGTTGAAATGTGTGGCCCAGTGTGTAGGTAGCCATTCATTTAAAACATCTTATACGCTATTTTATATGGATTATTTCGAACAACAGATTGCAACAATGATCTTTTAAAATTTTTTGTTATTTTAGAAGATACGATCAAAATTTAAAAAGTAAAAGTATCAAGGGAAAGATACTTAACAAGATATACAAAAGGTATTCAGAAATGAAACTGATTGGACTTGTATAGTACATGAAATAAACATGTCAAATGAATAAAACTACCATCTTATAATTATTTTTTTAAGATGAAATAAAAATAAAAAAAAGTCAAATAAAATTACATTCATGTTAATCATATAAAAACAAAAAATTAAATAAAATACGTATTTGAATAAAATTATAAAATTGATAATACTTTTATAATAAATCAAATATTTATCCTGCAGACGAAAAAATTTGTACGAGCAAACAACGCGGACGAATGTTGAGGGCTGAAAAATCTTTGAAGCACCTCTCCAACAGGAGATCAATCAATGTAGCTATCAAAAAATGGAGCTTTCGAGATTTCACTCATATATAAATAATCACCATCACCATCTTCATCATCTTTATGACCGTTATCATCACCACCACCGTCTCCATTATCATCGTCATCCATTTTGTCACCATCATTATATATGTTTTTGTATGTGTATATATAAATGTTTGTATATTTACGTAGTGAGGTTGTGTATATTTTTTTTGTATGAACAGGTCGGTATGCGGTGGATGGATGCAGTGCGTAAAAAACATGTTTTTGTATGAAACATTAATGAATGAACTCACATTATTACCATAGCGCAATCGCAAATTAACAACACACACGCGCACGCACGCAGGCACGCATACTTACACACACCACACACACACCACACACACACACACCATACACAAACACAGGCACGCACACACATACAAACACACACACCAGTAAACACACGTGCACATACGTATAATCAGACACACATACATACATGCACTTAAATTAATTATTAAATAAATATATATATATTAGTAAATTAAACAATAGAACAAACAAATACATTAAAGAACTGAAAGAGGAGAATTAATGGAGACGAAAATAATGTGATCAAATCCAGTCCCATTTTATTTACTTTGCAACCATCTTCTTCACACTCGTCTTCATTTTTATTTCATTTTTAGCCATCTTCATACTCAGTCAACATCATCATCTTCATCATCATGCTCACTGACGTCTCTTTTTATCATCGTCATTACATCATCTTCGTCTTCAATATCATCATTAGCATCACATTCACCTTCATCATCTTTATTTTACCACTCATCTTATTTGTTTTTAATCATCGTCAATGCCATAAATATCTATGCATTATTTAAAAATGTCATTAGTTTCATAAACAAAGATATATTTAAAAAACACCACTTGCATATTACACATGTCCCATCTATATCCAAACACACACACAGACACTCACACACACGCCCACAGATACACATGATAAACAAATAAACGTTTGTGTATACCACAAACGTTTATTTGTTTATCATGCTCCATTTTAAGTTTAGCTTAGTACTGTGTATGTGAATGTGTGACTATATATATATATATGTGTGTGTGTGTGTGTGACTATATATATATATATATATATATATATATATATATATTTTACAATATTCTATAAATTCTACCGAATGTTTGGG